TGGCCTGGTTAGGGCAGTCCTCTGAGTCAGGGAAACAGTGGAACTGGAACTTTATCCCCTCCTTGCTGGGAGATGGTCTTAGCAGCAGATGACCACTTCTCCCACTCAGATCTCTGGGTTACCTACCAGAGCTTGGGATGGTTTTTCAGGCTTCCCAGGTTCCCAAAGGTGCCCTTATTATTCCAGAGAGGTCAGATCTGCCCCACTCCTTAGGCTTCCCAGGTTCCCAAAGGTGCCCTTATTCCAGAGAGGTCTGATCTGTCCCACTCCTCGGTAACATTGTTCCCAAGCCTGTGCATAGTGTTTGCTATGAGGTCCCTTTGGTATCTTACTTTCCATGTGCACTGCTGGTTTCTAACTGCACTGCCTGCTCCCCTTGTGGAGCTGCCTGCCCAGGCTTCACATCTAGTTTGCTCCAGATGCTCAGCAGATGAAGGTCCCTCTTCTTACCTGGTTTGGCTTTCTGTTGATAGACCCTGGCGTTGCAATTCAAATGCAGCAGGTTCCATAAGCCAGAAAACTTCGTAGGAATTGCTTCTGTTGTTTGAGTTCACTTGCCAAGAAAGAATGATTTCATATTCCTAGCTGGAGGCTGGGGACTGCATCCCTGCATCCCCATGTTGAACACAGCCCTTGGCAGAGCACACGCCACTTTGAAACCAGAAGAAAACCTCTGACTTGAGCTGTTTTCCCCAAAACTAAGCACTGTGCTGGTGCTGGCATCTCCTCCACTGCAGAGCAGGCACAGGGCAACATGCAAGAGCTGCTCTGGCTGCTCTGCCCAGCAAACCTGAGGGGAGGTGAGAGCAGCTGGGTCTCTCCCACCAAAAAGCCCAGCAGGCACAACTCCTGTGCTGCCAGGACAGAATAGAATGTGAGGAGTCTCAAGGCCTCAGCAAAACTTCCAGGCTCATTTTGCCCCTGGGCTTTGCTCATCAGGTTATGCTCTGCTCACTTGTGAAATGCTCTGAAGTTAGGAAGGGTGAGAGAGTTTGTTCCCTTTTCATGTGCTACCTGCCAATTTTTAGACTAGATCATAACAGAAGTTTCTTCAGTACCTTGTGTAACCAGTAGTTGTCCTACTGAGGAAAAAGCATGTGGAACTAAGGTGTCAGAAGTCCAACTCTCTTGGAAAAAGAGCTGGGTTACTAAATCCTGTAGGAACCTCTCTGATATCCATGTCATGTCTCAGTGTTGTACATGTGAATGGTTCACCAAAAAGAAATGCAGCATTGGGGATAATCTTGAGTTCAGTTCAGGGTGACTCTGGGTACCTGTTACTTCTCACTCCACATGGACAGTGTTTGTCAGAGCTGGAGCTGGAGGGTGTGTCTTCCCTGGCAGGCAGTCCTGTGGAGCTACAGATGATCCTGACAAGGTGGGCTTGTCTGAGCTTGGCCTTTTGCCTCTTTCAGGTGTCCCTTCTGCAGACACAGCTGGCACAAGAACGAAAATACAAGCAGGACTATATTGAGTGCTGTGCAAAGACCAACCAGGAGCTGTCAGACCTTCACCAAGAGCTGTCTTCCTCCTTAGCAGCTGTGGTCAGGGAGCCCAAAGCTGCTGTTCTAGAAGCAGAGACTCGGAAGCTGGATCGGTCTCTGAACTTTAACTTGGCACTAATATCTCTGGACCATCTGTCTCCGGACAGACAGCCATGGCATTCAACAGCCAGATCCACCAGAAGTGATGACCTGAGGTAACAGGGCCACTGAACAGGAAAAGACCTCAGTAGGAGCCAAGTCAACAGGATCTGCTGTAGCAGTTGAACTGTGGCAGGGGACTTGGTTCAAGGCATGAGTCCCCAAGATACAAGTTGAGAGCACAGTGTTCACTGGAGGTTCCCCAGCAGAAGCAGTTCTGGGACAAAACTGGTGCTGGCTTGTGTGGATGGGGTCAGTCGTAGGCCTGGAAAAGCAGGATGATCCTGATGGGCAGGTAAAATGTCTTCCTTTTCCAAAGCACTGGAAGGCAGCATGCTTGTCAGTCTGCACACAGCCCTCCTTGTTAAGTTGTTCCTATCATTTTCTGTACTGTATACAAAGACTTTTTGTCTGGTTTTATTTTTATAATAAACTTCTGTCTCCAAAATACTACACAGGCTCTGAACAGAAATCCTGCCATGATACCCTGTCTGCATCTCTGGATGAAAACCCAGGTTTTTCAGCCAGACACGAAACCAGCACCATGGGCCATGTGGCCAGTTGGTACAGCTCTCAGGTTTGTGCTGCAGTGTGGGAGTTGGGGTGCAGAAGTGGCCTGTGGGAGTGCCCAGGCACATGTCTGGATTGGAAAGGGCTAGTGTCCTGTGTCCCAGGGACACAGGAAGGATAGTGTCTGCTTCTTGGTCTCCAACAGCCACCCTAAACGTCACCAAAGGGGTGACATGAGTGGCAGGGGTGTCTTCTCATTGCTTCCCATCCAACTGGGACTGTTACTGGTCATCATGTACAACTGAGAGGGCAAAAGCATTAGAAACCTGGGATTATCATTTGTACACTGATTCAGACTTGCCCACTTCTATCCAGTGCTTCTGAGGTGAAAAGTCTTTTCAGCTCGTGCAAAACCACAAGTGGGTTTCTATGTTGTCCAGTCCATGGTACATCATGTGCATGAACTTTAAGCAGCACAATTTCCTAGTTCTGTTCTGCTGTTGCTTGGGCTTGCAAGGGAAAAACACAATTGAATTACACAATGTCTGTTGAGATGGAAGAGTCAAGGATTGGAAAGGGCTAGTGTCCTGTGTCCCAGGGACACAGGAAGGATAGTGCCTTCTTCTTGGTCTCCAACAGCCACCCTAAACGTCACCAAAGGGGTGACATGAGTGGCAGGGGTGTCTTCTCATTGCTTCCCATCCAACTGGGACTGTTACTGGTCATCATGTACAGCTGAGAGGGCAAAAGCATTAGAAACCTGAGATTATCATTTGTGCACCGATTCAGACTTGCCCACCTCTATCCAGTGCTTCTGAGGTGAAAAGCCTTTTCAGCTTGTGTAAAACCACAAGTGGGTTTCTATGTTGTTCAGTCCATGGTACATCATGTGCATGAACTTTAAGCAGCACAATTTCCTAGTTCTGTTCTGCTGTTGCTTGGGCTTGCAAGGAAAAAACACAATTGAATTACACAATGTCTGTTGAGATGGAAGAGTCAAAGACAAGTTTCTGTAACTACAGAAGTCAGAGTGGAAGCTGTTTGTTACACAGGTGTGAACCAACCTGAACGCAGGAAGTTCTGTCTAAACATGAGGAACTTCTTCACTTCGAGGGTGGAACAGGCTGCCCGGAGTGGTTGTGGAGTTTGTTTCTAGAGACATTCAGAACTCTCCTGGACACCATCCTGTGTAACCTGCTGTGGGTGGGTGGGACTCAATGGTCTCCAGTGGTCCCTTCCAACCCCAACCATCTGTAACTCCTCGAAGGCAATTTTAATCTAATCAGAAGTTACAATGAATAAAGCATTTATATGGTGATCTGAGCAGAGACCTACAGAGGGTCTGGCAGAACTGAAATTCACTTTTTTTGTGAACCATCACACAGGTGTGCACAGACCCACTGCCTCCCCCCTCTGCACCCCAACAGAAAACATGGAAGCTTGGTGAAGTTTGTCTTCTCTCAATTTGTCCTTAGAACAGAGCCTGTGAGTTAATCAGAATGCTGTGCTTGTTGTTCTCCTCCTTCAAGATACATCCCCCGTTGGCCATCCAAGTAGTGAAACCTTCTGTTGTGGTTTTATTGTGGTACCCCTGAGGTGCCCCTGTACCTTGAGGGACCTTCTCCAGGTTGCAGGCAGTGCCGGGTGCTGTAGGAACCCGGCACAGTGGAAGGTATTTCCTGTCTCAGCTCTCCGGCCTGCACGGTGCTGAAGGGGTCACATCTGGTTGTTTCAGGTGACGCCTGGAAGCTGCCACCCTGTGCCCTGGCTCCCCAGCAACAAGCAAGGAAACCCAACGGGAAGGCAGCGAGTGTGGGACCATCCCCAGCCAGCTGCCCCCAGGGCGCTGGGCACCTGCTCATCCCACAGGGGCATTAGAGCTCTCGTAGCGATCTCTGCCGGCTACACGCAGGCAGTGCTGCCTGAACGCGGAAAACTAGGGACAAGGAGCGGCCAGAACACGGGATTCCTTCCGAAAACGTGGGGACTGGAGCCACCTGTGTCAGGGGCGGGCAGAGGAGAGGACCTGTGGATGCAGCTCCTCAGCACGCCAGCTGGAGATGGGCTCTGAGGGTGCCAGAACACAAGGAACCAATTTATTGCTCTTGCCAATTTTCCTGAAACTCCCCAGCCTGCAGAAGGGGAACCGTGGGAATGCTGGAAATCCCTCCTCAGCCTCTGACCAAACTGATGGAAATCCTCCCGTTCAGGGACAGAACAAGAATGAGAGGTGCTGGAACAGCTCACCAGCACTTGCACCCCTGACAGGTTTTCTTCGATCCACCTCCCTTGTAGCTTTTTTCCCCCAACATGAACCTTTCCCAGCCCATCACTGAAAACAAAGTTCCTGCAGAGCAACACACGGGAGCAGGAACCAACCTTGCCAGCACTGGAAATTAAAAACCTGCCAAGACAATCTCTTCACAGCCACCAAGGCTCATGGAACACAAACAGTAAAGCCTACATTTCAAAACAATCTAATCTCAGAACATGGCACAGGCCACTCAAGACAACCAATGCTTCATGGAAACAAGATGGATGAAACGAATTAATCCTTACAGAACAGAACAAATTATTTCTCCAAGCAACCTAATAACCTGATTCCTGCTTTTGAGGTTTCCAACTCTCTCAATAATCCCTGCTCCATCTGCCATTTTATGTACAACTTCTACATACAGATGTTAATCCATGTTTGGTCAGAGAACAGAAGTGCTATTTTGGCGCTGAACCTGAATTAACAGTTTTGATGGCCCAGGAAACCCTGGAGAAGGATGTTAATCTGAAAGTAACATCCAGACCATTTTAAGGTATGAAAAGACCCTTCAAAGCTCTCAGAGGGTTGGAAGATTTGTTTGTAGACAGATTTTGCATCTTGCTACTTTTAGATGGTGGTTACAAGACAATGTCATTAGTCACACATGGATGAGCTGCCAAAGAGATTCCAGTGCCAAACAAGCTGCCTCTGACTACATTTGGTGCAGCATTAAAATCAAAAAGCTGCTGAATAACAGTGCTTTCTAGTCACATTTTAGTTTAAGTCTTCAATTGAATCTAAGTTTGTATTGAAATTTGGGCCTAATACAAGTGATGTGCTAATGAAACACAGAATCATAGAATCATGAAGGTTGGTAAAGACCTCTAAAATCATAAATTCCAGCTGTCAACCCAACACCACCATCCAACTTAATCCCATCCTGAAGTGCTACATCCACATGTTTTTTAAGGGAGCCTAGATGAAACTACCTAGCACCCTGTCCAGATGGATATTTAAAACCTCCAGGGATGGGGACTCCACCACCTCCCTGCACAGCACGTACCAAGGCCTGACCACTCTTTCAGTAAATACATTCTTCCTAATATCTAATCTAAACCTTCTCTGGCACAACTTGAGGCAGTTTCCTCTTGTCCCATCCCTTGTTCCTGGGGAGCAGAGCCCGACCCCCCTGGCTCCAACCTCCTCTCAGGCAGTTCAGAGCCAGCAGGTCTCCCCTCACCTCCTTGTCCTTCCCCAGCTGCACTGCCCTTCCCTGGACACGCTCCAGCCCCTCCATGTCCTTCTTGTCCTGAGGGGCCCAGAACTGACCCCAGGATTGGAGGTGCAGCCTCAGCAGTGCCCAGCACAGGGGGAACTATCCCTATACCTGCTGGCCATGCTATTCCTGACACAAGCCAGGAAGCTGCTGCCCTTCTTGGCCACCTGGGCACACGCTGGCTTGTGTTCATCTGGCTGTCAGCCAGCATCCCCAGGGCCTTTTCTGCTTTGGTGTGGCCTGAAGCTCTAGAAAGGCCTTTTGGTGCCCAGCTCAAACCCTTTGCATGCCTCTGGGTACCCACCACGGCCCTCCATGTGCCTTGGATGCCACCCAGAGCCCTCCCTCTGCCTTTTTCTATGCCCCAGGAGCCCCTTTTGTCCTTTTTTCCCCTCAAGTCAGTGAATCTCCCAAGGAGCAGCTGCTACGCCCATGACAGAGAAGTGGGTTTAAAATGGTCTACGAAAGCCAGGGCAGCACCCAGAGAGCCTCTGAGGACCTCTTGGAGGGAGATCAGGAGCAGAAGCCTGGGTGCCACAGTGCCTGGGTGTCCGGGCCTCAGAACTGGGCACCCCTTTTGTCCTTTTTTCCCCTCAAGTCAGTGAATCTCCCAAGGAGCAGCTGCTACGCCCATGACAGAGAAGTGGGTTTAAAATGGTCTACGAAAGCCAGGGCAGCACCCAGAGAGCCTCTGAGGACCTCTTGGAGGGAGATCAGGAGCAGAAGCCTGGGTGCCACAGTGCCTGGGTGTCCGGGCCTCAGAACTGGGCACTGCCACACACACAGACACACACACACAGACACACACACAGACACACACAGACACACACACACACC